TTGGGCATCAGGTCAGGGTAAGGGCACAGCACAAGGAAGAAATACATCGATTTGAACTTAACCAGAGGTTAAAGGCTATCGCCAGTCAAGTAGGAGTAGGTGAGGCTCGCGCGGACGCGCGCGCATAGTTCCTCTCGCGCTACCTATCCATACTGCACTCTGAAACCCGCTTTTTCCCCACTACACATGACTTCATCACCTGCGAAGACACTGAAACCGAAAGAAAGGATAAATAAACAACAATGAGCAATCAAACAATCTAACCTCGAGCAAGGGGAGCAAGAAAGGAATCGTGTTCCGGTCAGCGGATCGAATTGCATCATCAGATGACTCTGCAAGTGACGTCACACGTCCTTACATCGCCCGGTCGAAAACTGCTGTGTTGTCGCTTCGGTAAATTTGTGTTGTTACTCAACACGAAAATTTACGATGTCTACTCCCGCTAGAAGACGATTGATGAGGGATTTTAAGAGGTAAAAGTTTCTCTTTGGGTATTAAATTAAATTACTGGTAGTAGGTAGCCAACGTAAGTAACAATAGCGATACAGAACTGAGAGTAAGCGGATCATTAATACGTAGAACGTTCGTGTTGCTAGTTGTTTTTGAGTGACCGTGCTTTTTGTTTCAATTTGCTAGAATTTCAGACGAGCCCCCAGACGGTGTTAGCGGAGCTCCTTGTGATAACAACATTATGATTTGGAACGCTGTTATCTTCGGGTAAATATATAACAATAAGCTTACTATGAACTTGAATAGCTAAAACATTTCAATTTCAACCAGTACACCTTAAGGGAGCATAAAAGAACCTTTCCAACAATTTTTTCTGTTTCTTCGCAGACCCAAAGACACACCATTTGAAGACGGTAAGCTGTTCTTTTGGTTTACGTAACTCGCCTTACGTAGTTTGCTTCCTTTATGCGAGGAGAAACAAAGTTGATTGGATAAGTTTTTGTTTCGCTTTTATAGGGACGTTTAAATTACAAATGGAATTTACAGAAGAATACCCCAATAAACCACCGACTGTTAAGTTCATATCAAAGATGTTTCACCCCAACGGTAAGTGAGGGCATGAAGGCTTGCTTAGGGCCATGATATACCTCTCCCTAGATAGTGCATGTTTTGGTGTAAACTTGAACACTCTATTAATTTAGCCATATTCTACTGTAAAGCATTCTTGCATTCTTTCACACCTGATTTAAACTACCCAGAGATGTAATTGCCCGCACAGGGATTTTGCCCAGAAGGTGAAATCCCAAGGAGGCACTCTAGCAGCTTGCGTGTATCTTAAGGGAAATACTTACAGTTGAAAAAAACAGTCAGGATGCCAGAAAAAATCTTGACAGAGGCCGCATGGAATCGTTGGGTAACGATGACATTTCTATTGTTCGGGCCCGCAAGTAAGAGATGGTTTGGGTTACGTAAAACAGAAAATCCCTAAGGGACCGATTGGGTAGATTTTGTGACATTTATCTTACAGTCAGACTTCGATGCTCTTTTGTGTTACGAGTTATCAGTAACATTGTATGGAGCATCTCATTTGAAAGTTATGGACCCAAAGACACTCATTAAGTGCAGATGAAGTTGTAAGGTGTGTATAACTGTGTATATATACACACTTGGAGAGTTTGCCAGACATGAGTTTGCAAATCTTTGATTGGAAACAATTTGCCAGACACTCTTTCTCTGTCTTTGAGGGAATAAGCACACTAGCACAACGATGGACAATTACAGAAATTCCCCAACAATTAAATTCTGTGCTGACTTATTCCTTGCTCACAGATGTCCTTCTGTAAAGTTTAAAGAAAGACTAGAACGTGCGAGCATGAATTAATGAAACCTTTGAATTTCTTAGGCTTACTTTCCTTAAAAAGTGAAAGATATAGTGAAAAATTCCAACTTCTTATTATTTTTTTTCATATGGTTTACAACAAACTATTCTCGAAACCGAGAATGTTTTGATCAAAGCTGTGTAAATGGAACTGAATCAGTGCATGAAATGTTGCGTTTCCTGTTTTTATCTCACCTATTGTATGGAATATGTGTGAAAATCTTGATTGTGGATCGGTATATTTCAAAGAGCTTCACAATGACCAAGAATACTATTGACTGACAATGTACAGAGCAGGGGCTGCTGTAGAGTCAAGTATTACTAGTAAATGTCTTACCAACAATGTTATTTTAATACCCTGTGGCTGTGGTTGGTTGCACCAGAGAGCTCAAATCATAATGCTAATTGGCTGGGGCCACACTTGGGGACTGAATTATTTCCAGTTTAGTTATTTAAATGGCCAGCATGAAATTTTGAATTTATGTCATGGACAACTTATAGCTTCAATAACATGTTTTTGGTGACACGCCAGGTGCATTCTTATGGCACTAGAAGTTCAGAGCATTTTTATTTACCACAATGCAGGACTAATATAAGAAAGTTCTCCATCAGTTTCCAAGGTCCTAAATTTTTTTTAACTCTCTTAATTAGTTTTGAAATTAGAAATGCAACAAGTACCGCTTCCTTTTGCTGTAAGCTGAAAGCATTCCTCTTATCATAAATAGTAATTTATAGATATATACATGTATTTTTTTTTTCTTCCTTTGCTCTTTTATTTTCTTTTGTTTTTTTTTTCTTTTTGTCATTTCGCTTTTTTTAGCCTAGAACTATGTACGCCTATCTAATATACTTATTTTAAGATTTACTATAGTTCTGCCATTGATTTTCCCATGTGTAATTATGATAATATTTTGTTCTAATTATCTAACTGAGGGGGCCCATTCCTTATAAGCCCGGTGGCTTCTCTTGGACTTCCTCGCTATGCGAGTTTAATTAAGTAGATTTTATTTGATTTGTACAATTTTTGGCAAACAAAACAATAAACAATATAAAATAACACTTAAAATTGAAGGCAAGGCTGATCGGACTGCTAAGGTTTACAAATTTATTTGCCCAATATCTCGACTATACAAAACTAGTCTTCATCAGGAGCTGGAAAAGCTAAGTGAGAATAGAATAAACGGTTACAGTGTATAAAATAACACAAAAATAAAAAATAAAATGTGATTGGTGGAGAAATACAAGAGACAGAAACTTGTACAAAGAGGTTACATGAGAATATGTCAATAGATTAATTTTATCTCCTCTGTCGTCTATGGTTATTGCTGTTTCTTCTTCTTATTATTATTATTATTATTATTATTATTATTAGTATTATTATCATTCATGAATAAGGAAGATCTATTCCAAAATTAGCTGTATAACAGGAAGTCTTCAGTGAAAGAGAAAACCGTTGAATTGCATAGTTTAACAGTTTTCTTTTACACTGGAGAACGGTCATATGCCCGAAACGTCTATTTTTACGACCACTTACTTTTCACACTTTCCGATCAGGGGTTTTGTTTCTTTCATTTTTTCATTTTTTTTTTTCATTTTGTTTCTATATCATTTTTTAAGTCATCTAATAATTTTTTCCCAATGTTGCACCTCTCAAACCAATTTTCCTTTTTTCTTGGGCATCAGGTCAGGGTAAGGGCACAGCACAAGGAAGAAATACATCGATTTGAACTTAACCAGAGGTTAAAGGCTATCGCCAGTCAAGTAGGAGTAGGTGAGGCTCGCGCGGACGCGCGCGCATAGTTCCTCTCGCGCTACCTATCCATACTGCACTCTGAAACCCGCTTTTTCCCCACTACACATGACTTCATCACCTGCGAAGACACTGAAACCGAAAGAAAGGATAAATAAACAACAATGAGCAATCAAACAATCTAACCTCGAGCAAGGGGAGCAAGAAAGGAATCGTGTTCCGGTCAGCGGATCGAATTGCATCATCAGATGACTCTGCAAGTGACGTCACACGTCCTTACATCGCCCGGTCGAAAACTGCTGTGTTGTCGCTTCGGTAAATTTGTGTTGTTACTCAACACGAAAATTTACGATGTCTACTCCCGCTAGAAGACGATTGATGAGGGATTTTAAGAGGTAAAAGTTTCTCTTTGGGTATTAAATTAAATTACTGGTAGTAGGTAGCCAACGTAAGTAACAATAGCGATACAGAACTGAGAGTAAGCGGATCATTAATACGTAGAACGTTCGTGTTGCTAGTTGTTTTTGAGTGACCGTGCTTTTTGTTTCAATTTGCCAGAATTTCAGACGAGCCCCCAGACGGTGTTAGCGGAGCTCCTTGTGATAACAACATTATGATTTGGAACGCTGTTATCTTCGGGTAAGTATATGACAATAAGCTTACTATGAACTTGAATAGCTAAAACATTTCAATTGCAACGAGTACCGTAAGGGAGCATAAAAGAACCTTTCCAACAATTTTTTGTGTTTCTTCGCAGACCCAAAGACACACCATTTGAAGACGGTAAGCTGTTCTTTTGGTTTACGTAACTTGCCTTACGTACGTTTGCTTCCTTTATGCGAGGAGAAACAAAGTTGATTAGATAAGTTTTTGTTTCGCTTTTATAGGGACGTTTAAATTACAAATGGAATTTACAGAAGAATACCCCAATAAACCACCGACTGTTAAGTTCATATCAAAGATGTTTCACCCCAACGGTAAGTGAGGGCATGAAGGCTTGCTTAGGGCCATGATATACCTCTCCCTAGATAGTGCATGTTTTGGTGTAAACTTGAACACTCTATTAATTTAGCCATATTCTACTGTAAAGCATTCTTGCATTCTTTCACACCTGATTTAAACTACCCAGAGATGTAATTGCCCGCACAGGGATTTTGCCCAGAAGGTGAAATCCCAAGGAGGCACTCTAGCAGCTTGCGTGTATCTTAAGGGAAATACTTACAGTTGAAAAAAACAGTCAGGATGCCAGAAAAAATCTTGACAGAGGCCGCATGGAATCGTTGGGTAACGATGACATTTCTATTGTTCGGGCCCGCAAGTAAGAGATGGTTTGGGTTACGTAAAACAGAAAATCCCTAAGGGACCGATTGGGTAGATTTTGTGACATTTATCTTACAGTCAGACTTCGATGCTCTTTTGTGTTACGAGTTATCAGTAACATTGTATGGAGCATCTCATTTGAAAGTTATGGACCCAAAGACACTCATTAAGTGCAGATGAAGTTGTAAGGTGTGTATAACTGTGTATATATACACACTTGGAGAGTTTGCCAGACATGAGTTTGCAAATCTTTGATTGGAAACAATTTGCCAGACACTCTTTCTCTGTCTTTGAGGGAATAAGCACACTAGCACAACGATGGACAATTACAGAAATTCCCCAACAATTAAATTCTGTGCTGACTTATTCCTTGCTCACAGATGTCCTTCTGTAAAGTTTAAAGAAAGACTAGAACGTGCGAGCATGAATTAATGAAACCTTTGAATTTCTTAGGCTTACTTTCCTTAAAAAGTGAAAGATATAGTGAAAAATTCCAACTTCTTATTATTTTTTTTCATATGGTTTACAACAAACTATTCTCGAAACCGAGAATGTTTTGATCAAAGCTGTGTAAATGGAACTGAATCAGTGCATGAAATGTTGCGTTTCCTGTTTTTATCTCACCTATTGTATGGAATATGTGTGAAAATCTTGATTGTGGATCGGTATATTTCAAAGAGCTTCACAATGACCAAGAATACTATTGACTGACAATGTACAGAGCAGGGGCTGCTGTAGAGTCAAGTATTACTAGTAAATGTCTTACCAACAATGTTATTTTAATACCCTGTGGCTGTGGTTGGTTGCACCAGAGAGCTCAAATCATAATGCTAATTGGCTGGGGCCACACTTGGGGACTGAATTATTTCCAGTTTAGTTATTTAAATGGCCAGCATGAAATTTTGAATTTATGTCATGGACATGATTGCCACCCATGTGTTCAGCGTAATGGAATATGTCGGAAAATCTTGCGCACTCTATAAAAACTTGCCAGAAAAACTAACCAACACCTACCACACAGGCTAATCAAATAAGCGTATTTCAGCGTTGTAGCAAACTTCTTAGTGAGATAATCTAGAGTCAAATGTTACAACTTGCTGGTGGCCTGGCGTGATGCAAAGCAGTGTCTGACATCATACCACCAACAGTCCTTGTTTGGCTTTCTTATTTCAGTTTTGTTTTTTTGGTGGTTTTGGCAAGATCTCCTTGGTGTCACTCTACACTAAGGCTTTTGATCAATGATGAAAATCAATGATCAGCACACCATGAACCTGCATTACAGACTTTTTACTGTTAAAAAACAGTTATTTCCATTGAAGCACGGAAGTACCAAAAGTATTGGTAAACCTCTCTGTTCAGATACCTATAGATAGATGGAGGATATTACATGATGGCAACAGAAGATCCATGAAGTTTTTCTTGCCACTCAGACATGAAATTCATTTCTTCAAGCTAGTTATTTGTTTACAGAAGAGAAATGACTCAGACATGGATGTCTCCTTAAAAGCTCCACAGTTGATTTCAGGGAAGATGGCTAAAAAATCCTCAGTTTTTCAAGATCGCAGTTACATAATCAATATTCTGCATGATCTAATAAAATGTTGCATAATTTTTTTTTCAGTAGCTGTATAGACAATTTAGTGTAATGTATTAAAGAGATTTATGTTCAACCTAAAAAGGTTTAATTTTTGGTCCAACCAATAATTATTATGACTTGTCCTTGCAGTTTATGCTGATGGTGGGATTTGCTTAGATATTCTTCAAAATCGTTGGAGCCCAACCTACGATGTGTCTTCTATTCTTACATCAATACAGGTTAGTTTTCTGCTTTTAGTTGCAGACCTCACTTAGAGTTAATATTAGAACCGTACATCATGTACGGTATCTCCTTGAATAAGCGCCCATTTAAATTTCAGCTAAAAGGATGGGCTCTTATTCAAAGGAGGGCGCTTATGTTTTCCTTTAATAATTAAACTAGAGAATAAGTTAGTTGTTTACAGGAAGTTTATGGCATTTATCAATAGAGTGGGTAATACAACAAAAATTAAAAGAAGAGATAATGCACAAAAAGGACCTCTGCAAGCACGAGCATAAATATAGAAGTAACTGGATTTTGCTTAATGGAATACCTGTATGTGGAAACCATTGTTTTCCCACTTTTCCCAGTGGTTGTAGTTGAAGCCTAAAAAGTTGAAAATAAGGTGACCATAGCAGCTGGTTTTTCTTGTATCCCTACTACTTTTCTAAGAAAGTGAAGGGGAAGGGAGGGGGCACTGAATCGTGGGGAAGGGGGGGCATGGCTTTGATATAATGGCCTTGGGGGTGGGCACTTGTTTGGGGGAGGGCGCTTTTTAGAGCTTGGGTGCTTATTCGAGGAAATAAGGTATGTATTACCACAACACCTTTTACCAGTCACTTATTAAAGTTTTGAAAGTCACGTCAAATATAAGGCAGACATCTTCTGTTGGTATGACAGAACTATTCTATTGTCTTGACCTGTATTATGAGGAGCAAGGGTATCACAGTAGTGAAAGGACTCGCCTCTCACCAGTGTAGCCTGAGTTCAAATCCTGGCATCTTGCTTTGCTCAGAGAGGTTTTTCTCTGGGTATTCTGGTTTCCCCCCCTCCTCGAAAGTCAAATTCCAATGCGACCAGAACTAATTGTTAGACAAAGAACCACTACTGCTACTGCTACTTCTAAATTGTAGTTTATTATTTATTTATTTATTCTGTTAGGAACTATCCTGTAAGACCCAGGTTAAGCTAATTTGGGACAAGCATTTACAGGCAAAATTACTCTATAGTAGTTTGTAAGAAGAAACGGCACTTGCTCCTCTGAGCTAGTTGCAGAAGGATTTGAATTCCCTGGTTTTGATTGCACAGAAAATATTTTGTTAGACAGGTTTCTTTGTCATGTCACTGTTGCTTGCTTGTAAATTGTGTGATATCCATTTCAGTATTTTTGATTTCCTCTACTGCCTTTCTTAAATTTTTATTCTTAAGGTGATTGCCAGTGATAACATGACATGTTATATCCACTCTAGCTCATATTTTTCCAATTCACAGATTCATCCTGTTTGCCCTTAGCCTGGGCTTATAACTCACAGCTTACACTTGCAGTGATTGTTTTGTTTCATCTTACAGTCTCTTTTAGATGAGCCTAACCCAAATAGTCCAGCCAACAGTTTAGCAGCACAACTTTACCAAGAGAACAAACGCGAGTATGAAAAGAAAGTAATTGCAATTGTGGAGCAAAGCTGGATAAATGCTTAATGATATTAAACAGACAACTCTTAGGACTCCATCTCAAAGGTTGCATTTCTTTGCAATCACTGCAAGCTTCTCTCTCTTAATTTAACAGTTTTGTTTGCATCTTTCCAATACTTCAGTGCTGTAACAATGTTATGGCAAAGGTGACAGAAAATTGAGCAGTTGTTATTCAGGTGTAGGTATTAAACTAATATGTAAATTTTACAATACTTTAGAATTATTGGAAAAATTTTGTATATCAGCAAGATTTATTTCAAGGAGCACTTAATCATTATTTCCGTTCTGTGGGATTATACACTGCTAGCTTTGTTTGGATGATGTAACTTGGTGTAAATACAAAGAAAATACAATAACATTAAACAGCAGTTTCAGTTGTTGTTGTAGGCTTGCTTCTAATGGGTGTGGCTTGGCCTTCTTTTAACCATGTTATTATAACCATTAAAAATACAACTTTGTTGCATGTAGTATTCATGGTGTACAGTGCAGATCAGCATGTGTAATTCAAGCCTACAACACTGTTGAACATAATTTTGTTGGCTCACCATAAGCGCTTTGTCTGCAACAAAGTTGTACTGTGTAAATTAGCCTTAAGACAGTGAAACCACTATGAAACTACCCCTATTTTTTCCCACGGCCCATTATAATAGTAAATTGTGTGGAAAAGAACCCCAATATAACCTACCCCAGTAATGTCAGAGTTCATTATTTTTCCATCGTCCTAACATTTTGATATTCTGGGCTTTCACCAACCCAGCATCTTGTTTTCCTCACAATTTCAAAGCAAAAGTCATGACAATTCACCAAAGAGGGAATGTCAAAAGCTACAGTGCAGGTAGCCTGAATTTCAGACATTACTTTGAGTTGCTTTGAGGGAGTAAGCAACTCTAAGTAGTGTCTGAAATTGAGGCTACAGTGCAGGTATTTGGACATCTCTTCTCAGATTGACCCTATGTTTGGCCCCTACTACAAGCTGTAAGTATGGAACCTTCCCTCTCATGTTGTCAAAACACGGTCAGTAACTTTCACGTGGCTCGTATATACTAAGTTAGTCAAACCCTGCTTTAAGGACACCCACTTAAATACAGACACCTCATTATTAGGGACAGTTTGCTTTGTCCCTAAAGAAACAAAGCCCCTACATTTTCTCTAAATTCAACCCACTTAATACGGTTACTCCGTTAATACAGACACTTTCTGTGACACCCTCCATGTCTGTATTAACAGGGTTTGACTGTATTACGTTAATGACTCTAAACAGGGATCTTCTAAGTTAATTCCCTCGTTTTGCACTATAGATCACCTACTGTGCATAACATTGTGACTTGAAAAGTGACAATGATTTTCGACGGTCGCCTAAAAAGAAGTAACAAAGGCCCCTTTTGTCGTCAAAATGGTTTTAACAGCGATTTTGATGACTACACGGCTAAAAAGGTCTTTTTCTTGAAACTTGCCCCAGTCCCTTTGCGCAAAAAGATCATTTGAAGCCAAAATTGTCCCTTTGATGTCTTATTGCCATGAAATGAGAATGGTGAACCCCTTTCTATATTTATGTGTTTTTTACTCATTAGGGCCATACACAAAATATATCTTAAAGAGAAAAAAATTTGGTTAGTAGAAGTTGTAAATTTTTGATTATGAATGACATAAAACTCCACAACTAGAACTACAGAGAAGTATGAGATAATGTTAAGACTGTCCATTTCTCTCCATTTTTTAACGATCAGATGATTTGAAGTCATTTTACTGAAGACGTATAGCTCATACAAAAAAACAGGTTTTAGGTAAGATTTATATTTTTTGCCGTATGATAAATTGACGGTTGTTTAAGTTTCGACTATTTTGCACGCAACTGGGAAAAAACACTCAGAGTAATGGGCACACAGGGTGAAAACAAGCAGGGTGACCCCATCTTTTTATTGCAATTTTGGATTGTTCTATATATGGCTGACAATTGTGCCAAGTTTGAAAGAAATCTGGATAGTACATCCTTTTCAAGGGAATTACCTTAAAGAATAATAATATTATTAGAAGGCTCTCTAGTGGGCGAAGGGTTGAGGAGAAGAGAAAAAGAGCGAAAGACAAAGGCTAAAGACAATCTGTAGACTGCTAAGTAGCAAGATTTGTTACTTTCCAAAAGTGACAGTATTACTCAAGCTCGAAATACATTGCTATTTATTTATTTCTGTACATTATTTTAAAGGCAGTCAAAGATTCTGCCAGTTTTATATCACCCATTCATTTCAACAAATCTAATAACAAAAATAAATTAAGCTATAACACATAATCCCTGATGTTATTTTCCACTTTGAGCTCGATTATTGTCATCTCCTGGGTCCTTTCTTCTTTGCAAAATGATGGCTTAGTTCATTTGGGGACATACTCTGATCTACATGAGATTTTGGAACATTTGAAAATGGTGACTCAGTGTAACCGTTGTAGAATAGAAATACTCTTTTGGTGTACTCAAATGAGAGGAACATAATCCCAGCATTTGGGGCAATCTGTAAATAAGAGAAAGAAAAGAGCAAGTTACTCATGAATTTTGTCTAAAATGACAATTTCGGTTTGACACTAGCTTGCAAGCAGCAAGCCAGCTGCCTGTTGAGGTTTCACTTACTAATTTTCACAAGAGGTTTAAGTGCTAGCTAAGGGGATTGTACAGTGCATTTTGTGAAAATAGGGACCGTAAGTTCCGAGGACGACGACAGCAGCAAAATCATCACTAAAAGAGTGAATTTGCATTCTTTCAATCTTCATTACAATAATTGTAATGATAATAATTGTAATAATTGTAATGAAGATTGAAAGAATTATTACTCCAAGTCACTAACTTTGTCAAATGTAGGTGAACCCTCCTAAAGTTGAATTCCTAAGAACCATATCCCAGTTCAGAAAGAGAGAGGAAATTTTGTTGTCGCTTGTATACTTCCTCTGTAAAACGTGAAATAAGTCATTTTCACGTCGTAGTCGTGTACAAAAAAGCGTGATGCACAGGCAAAATTGTTGTTTAGGTTTTTAAACCTATTGTTTTTTTGACGTTCTTGTTGGATCTTAAGGTCTCTAATATCCTCACCTACTGGTACTTCAAGAAGACTATTTGAAAATCTGAGTTGAAATGTGAGGAAAGAGAGTGCTCAAACGTGAATAATGGTATCCATCATTGATTTTGGTATACACTTAATGAGTAGGCAGAGGATGGAAAAACCTTAAGCCTGTGTAGCCTCCCTCACAGAGGTTCTTTTGGCTTGTCACGCCATTGAACATGGAGAAGGAACGTCTGACAAAGCCCTGAAAACATCTGCAAGGGAAGCTATAGTCTATGATTATGCTCTCCATTTTGAGTGGTGAGTGAAGTAAGCTCTGAGAGAACATGCAAGTGAGGTTTATTATAAGTGTTTGCTGCTTGTGTGTGTGACTTCTTATGACATCTCTAAAAATGAGAGCCAACTTCCTTGCAGGCTAGAAAGCTGACACCAAAAGAATGTTAAAGTTTGGAGTGTGGTTGATGGAAATGATATTGGATCTTTCCGTGGCAGATACATCATGTTTGGTTGGCAGAATTCTTAAGCCAAGCAGTTTTTATTATTCTCATGCACCATGCAAAGCCAAACAAATTAGAATACATAAAAATGTCCACCTTTAAAAGGTTAGCTGTTAGTCCTCTCCACAAGCCAGTAACCCCATTTATTTTCACTGTTTGAACAAAAGCACTGGTCATTCCTTTGAACTGGATATCAACACCACCTTGATTTGGAAGACTTTTACTTCTTGCCTGCCACACAAATCCAAGTTAGCTTTTACTTCATACCACTGATAAGTAATTTGCTACAATACATTTTGCACATTACAAGTTTTCAACCAAACAACAAAAACATATTCTTAAGTATCTATTGTATTGACAGTTTGAAGAAAATTCTCTCAAACCTAAAATATGAAAAGCTGGATAGCTAAGATTTATGGTAACAAAGTTGCTTTTAACATAGTTATGTAACTCCTGGGCTTGGGTGGCAGGTGACTTGCTTTTAAGAACTTTGCCCTGGAATCCAAAATTAATTTGAAATACCTTCATGTGATTCAAAATTACAAACCTTTTGCGTGTAGTAGTATAAACAAATAATAGCATGATTTGTATGTGATATTTGGCAAAAATACCACTCGTGATATTTCAAAATTGTCTCAAATTACACTCGCCTAACGGCTGGTGAAATTACGTATAACAATATTTTGAAACATAACTCATGGTATTTATGCCAAAAATCACTACTAATCATGCTATTACCTATACTAACAAAACTGATTACGTAAGTCATAATACAGTTTGGTACAGTATGTTCTCGTTATTCTTAAATTTACAGTCTCAAGTATATAATACACTCCTTGTTTAAAATGTTTATCACAATAACCCACATATAAGAACCTACTTGATCTTGCCTGGGTAGACAGGTTCTTGTATTTTGGGGTATTAAAATGGCAAATTTCTGTCCAGAGGTTCTTAATCTACAGGGCCAGGTTGTTCGAAGCTGGGTTAAGATAACCCAGGGTTACTGCAAAATTTGAACTCAAATATGAGAGCTTAAAAAGCAAATTCACTTTAATTCTCTTCACCTACAATTTGATGATTGGATACTCTGAAAAGAATAGAGAAAATTATCCGAGAAAGTGCTTTTGATAACATGAAAAAGAAACCCGGGTTAATATTTAACCTCAGGTTAGCGCTAACCGGCATTCGAACAACTGGGCCCAGGTTTGTATATGCTGGTGTTTACTGTATCCCATAGGCCAGTATTTTCAGTCAGAGTGAGGAGCACTTTTGTTCTAAAAGCTTTTGACTATTTCAAATGACCTTTAAATATACTGGGAAACTTTGCCCACCTAACATTATCAATATTGTCAAACAGCACATGCTAAATCTTTTGTTGCCCACACATTGAATCCAAGAGCATGCTTGAAACTAACCTGCATTTTCTTTCTTATTGTATCAAAAGGAAATGACAAGGTCTGCGAAAGAAAAAATACCATCAAATTCAAACTTAAGTGACAACCATATTAATATTTTACCTTTGAGACATAAAGGCAGGGTGAAAGATGGGGTATTTCAGCTTTCTTGGAGACCCAGAAGGGCATGATCTCGCCTGGATTGCAAGTTTAGTTTATTGGAAGAATGGCAGATTCCCTCAGTGCCTACTCTTCACCAAACCAGTTCCTGAAGCATCAAGATTCCCTATTCTGATTAGCCTGTTCCAGGCTCCAAGATGGTAGGGTGGGCAAAATTGAAAAAGCACTAACACGAAAATAAAACCACCCCCTTTCCCCAGAGCACATGCTCATGTGCCTACTCTACCCACTATCTGAGAGCCAAGAACAGGCCACTATTCTGATTGCCTAGAAAAAGCTCAGGGTCTCTCCCTTTCTTCTTACTCTGCAATGACTTTACCCATACACTATGACAACAACAACAATTCCATCTTGTTCATTTCGTTGAATGTTGGTGAATTTTTCAGACTAAAGGACTATATCAAAGTTCAGGAAAAGAAAAGGAGGGTCATTGTCTTCTGTTCATGTCTTCCACAAATTGTGAAAATAGGCATTTTCAAGTCATAGTTGGGCAATGATAGCAAAGAAATGTGTAAAAAGGCATGATGCTTGTGCAAAGTTGTTGTTTTTGCCAATCTAAACCTATTGCTTTTTTGCTGTTCTCGTTGCCTTCACCTTCGTCATTGCTTATGCTCCCTGATACTTAATTGACCTGGCTTATCCACTTTGTATGTGTTCTGGTCATTCAGTGGCAGAGTATAAAAGCTGCTGATGTATGAAAATTTGTTGACAGGCAAAAACTTCCTCAGTGCCTACAAGATTTGTGTATGCAAGTAACAAGGAAATAAGTAACCTTCGCAAAAGCAGCAGCCAGGCATCCACTAACAAACATGTAAACAGGAGTCAGCTGGTCTCCTGGGGGCTTCGCGATGGAACTGTCTAAAAGACTGTATGCCAAATACGAACCTCCAGCAAATGGTATCACACCTGAAATCAAGATGTTAGCTCTCTTAGCACTGTTTAAAGAAATGTATATTAAATCAAAAAGAAAAGTTAGTCTACAGTATTATTTCAACCCAGTGAAGAGTCCAGGGAGAAATTGCTGGGGTTCAAAAGCCCCCAAAATACACTCATCGGACCAAATAAATTTTTAATAAATTGAAACCTATTTGCTTTGGAAGTTGAAGTCTACCAAGATTGGCTTACTAGAAAATAATGTGTAGTGGTGAAAAAAGCTGAAAGTGGTTGGCTGTAAAACAGTTCCAACATTTAGCAAAAGTTTTTCTTTTTGGCCCCTCCAATAAAAGTCAGAGGATCCGCCTCTGCAGCCCATGATATTGAAACTCTATTGTACGGCCATCCTCACAAAAACAAAATGTCTCATTTCCTGTCGCCTTCTCTTTCACGAAGGTGGGTCAGTCAGTCATTGGAAAAAAAGAAAAGAAAAGTAACCAAAGGGGCCTGAGTCCAGGAAAAGCCAGGATGCAAAGTAGGGAGGCAGGATTTTACAATGCTTTGTAGGTACTTTCAGACTGTTTTGTGCTCTTGCTTCACTATGGTTAGAAAGTGAAATAATTATGCTTATTAGACTAGTATGTATCTGGTTTGTTGTTTAATTTTCTAAGCAAATGGGAGAGACCACGTGTCTTGTAGGGGCTGTTGACTGACGTATCAGCCAATATTTCAGTCGAATGCCGGTTGACATATCAGTCGCTATATCAGTCGAGTGTTGGTTGAATGTGGGATGACTGTCAGTGGATAGTTGGCCCCGTTGTTCAAAATTTGGATAGCACTATCCACCAGATAAATTGCTATCCAGCGGATAAGTAGTAAGTGCGTTTTCTGCTGGATAGCGATTTATCCAGTGGATAGCACTATCTATCTTTTCAACAACTGGAGCTTGGTTGACATATCAGCCGAGTGGCATTTTACTGTTGGTCGAGTATTGGTCTACAGATCAACTGACAGTCGGTTGTGATAGCATTGGTAGTGTGTCGGCAACGTATCAGGGAACCGGCAGTCAAGAATTGGTAAGGTATCAGTGGTGTATTTGTTGTCAATCGACATAACCTCTACAACTTGTTTTTCCAACCTCATCTCTAAGGCTTTTCCCTTTGTTACAAGGTACCTGTCAACTGACACATGGTGGACACTATTGCTCATTACACATATCAGCTGCGTCAGATACCAGATTGATCAGTTACAAAATTCTGGGCTATTTTCATGTATTGGCTGACACCTTAGTTGTCTGTCGGTCAACATATTGGTCGCTATACTGGTTGAGTATGGTCGAGTGCTGAGTCTGGCAAGAGTTAGTCAACATACAGACCAACATGTCATGGCTGACTCTCTGTCGAGACTTGTTCAAGACCCGGCCGAGACTTGACCAAGACTTATTCAAGACTCAACCGACGCTTGACCAAAATAGCGACCGATATGTCGACTGACAGTCAACCCAGATGTCGGCTGATGTATCGGTCAACACCCTTTATAAGACACATGATCCCAAAAAAATCGGTTGGGCAATAGGAAACAAAACATGCTATGGGGAAGGCCTAAAAAAATGCCATGTTTCGTCGACAATACATTCAAAAACAAGAATTGTTGTTGACTTTGCCCAGTGAGTTCCTCGAGGAGCAAAAACACTCACCCAGGAATGTTGGCAACAAGCCTTTGTACAATGCTAGGAATCCTTCTGCTTTCCAAATTTTCCTGAAGCCATGAACTATGCCACGATAATGTGATTTTGAAGGATTGATATTCTGAACAATAAGTCTGGTTTTAAGCATGTCTGCTGGATACACTAAAAATGCTGCAATAAAGGCACTTCCTGATCCTGCCGCCATCGAGTAGGTACCATTGAGATTTCCTGGGGTAAGCGGATCTTCCAGCAGGGCCTGCAAAATAAACACGTCCATCATATCCCAAAAATTTCGCTGTTGGACTATCCAGTTTTAGGAAACATGAACAATCAACATTAAGCTTACCAGCATTTTATGAAAGGCCGCCAATTGAACAGCACTGTAAGGTACGAGACGCAGGCATGAGATACCGTTACCCTTCCAGAAAGCCTTCAGACCTTCGCTCTGGTAAATTCTACCAAATGATCTGACAAAACCTAAGCGCGTTTCCGGTGTTCCAACTTGCGCCAAAACTTTGACAACTTCGAGAGGAGATGTTATAGTCCTTGAAAGCACGCCCGCGATTCCTCCACAGAAAAGGCTCTGAAGAATCGTTAATCTTTCATCTTCCGCAGGTTTCACCATATTAACCCATTAGGGTTTTTTTGAAAATGCTCTGGAACTTTCACTGTTGTTTCGCGCTGTTCGCACGTTTCGTGCAAATCTGGCAGCCATATTTATTGAGATTAGTGGCGTGATGGCGTGATACAATGGTATCTAGAACCCAGGTTCCTCTCAGTTGTCAAAATTTCTCCCGCCAAATTTCGCTAGTTTGATAGCGCGAAGGTTCCTGCGCGTTTTACTCTTATTTTTGAAGGACCATTCATCCTTCCCTTCCCTTTTTCGATTCAGTACTACAGGGGCGTAGCCAGGATTTTTCCCGCCCCACCCATTTTTTAAAGGAAAAGCCCTGGGGACGAGGTTGGGGTCACAGAGGATACTCACCAGATCATCATCCGGGGATCGTGGGCTTTGCAACAATAGGGACCTTTAGCAGTGACGACGAGCACGTGAACGTCAACTACCGGAAGTTGGAAAACGAACCATGATGCTACCACGCATGCCCAAACGAGCACGAGCTCGTCGTCCACACCTCGTTGAGGACGCCATTTGCCGCCATTTGACGTCCTGTGGTGAACGTGAGTATTGCTTGACTTATTTTCTTCTATTTTCTTTCTTAATTTTGCAATTTCTTGAATCCCAAGGTTTTTCTTAGTAGATAAGACAGAAGCCGTAAGTTATTCCTGTTGCTGTGAAGTAAAAAACCCCGATTTTTTCGATGTTGCAGGAAAAATTTGACAGTCTTAGAAGAAAAGAAGAAGTGATGGATGCAGCAGGAACATCAGGGTAAGTTCAAGCGTTTTTATAAATGTAAGTTGTATTATTTAAACCGCATTTGATAACAGTTTTGTAAAAATCCTGTCGGGATTTTTATGAAGTTTTGTTCGTCTTTGAAAGTCTAAACTATTCGTGTNGGGTCACGGGCACCCCAGGACCCCCCCCCTAGCTACGCCCCTGTACTAAGCTACAGCTTCCACGTCGTAAAATGTTGTATCAAGTTTCTAGTAAATAATAAATGGCGACCTTTCCCATGAATTTCTTCTTGCCCCTTCACCTCGACCTCAACAGTTAAACCTGAGTTAATACGGACACTGAGGGGGCCTTAGAAAGTGTCCGTATTAACAGGGTGTATATATTAAGCGGGTTGAAGTTTGAGAAAGTGTACTAAGGGCTTTCTTTCCCCAGGGACAAAACAAATGTCCCTAATCTGTAATAAGGTGTCCGTATTAAGCGGGTGTCTGTAAAGAGGGATTTGACGTTACGGGTACTTTGTCACGATCTACCAAATGCGCCGATCACTTCGAAACTTCAACATCCCCCTAGTCCTCTGGGCAAACCCCGGATATTTGACGATCACTTATAAAGGGGCAGTGGGGAATTTGACCTTTGATTGCGTAGGGTGGGGAATTTGAACCGCGAATGTCAAGTTTAACTTGTTTTTAAGGTTTGCCTTGGGATCAGCAGTGGAGCCAATCTTTGGTTTGCTGACATTTTATATAGTTTTGAAGCATGATGCACTGACCGACCTGCTAGTGAGTAGTGAGACTATTCATCAACCAGTGGGAAGGGAGGGTTGGGAAAACAAATACACCGAGACCTGGGCTTTTACACCTCGGGAATGATGACAACTCCATAATTTCTCAAGAATTTAACAGATAACCCGGTTGTTTTGCCCGGTGATGGTAGTCTGTTCACAGACCTTAGGCTTCTGTTTTGAGATCGTCAAGCGCGAATATGACCATAAAACCGAGGAGATTTATTAACTGCTACCTATAGTGCAAAAGAGTGGAGGGTGGTTATTGTTAGGGTTTGCGCGCATGAAAATAAGATAAATTACCGTGGCAGATTTGCACAAGCGCTTTACCAGCTCACCGGAGAATTTAATACCATTAAAAAAAGGTAAGCTGCATGCAAAAAGATTTTTTGGGACGACTTTTCCAAAAGCTTGGTAAACCATTCAAGTTTTTACGAGCAGAACCTGGGCTCCAACCGGGCTCAAAAAAGCTGCGGTTGTGTTTAGTACCCAGGTTCCTCCCAAATTTTGTGGACTTCCTCCCCCCAAATTACACATTGCTTGCCCGAATTTCCAAGCGTTTGGCAGATTAAAGAAAAGGCAATGTCAGGCTTTAACATATTTTATTGAAAATATACATCTGCAAAGTGAGAGTTACACCCATATTGCAATAGTCACATTCCGGTAATTTTACACGTAGACCTTTCTAAAGGGTACAAAGATGTTATGTAAATGCATGTACTTGACTCAGGATTCAGTTCAGGATGTTGTTTACAAAAAGCAATTCCAGTTCTAGTCATCAAAACGCCAGCTGATGTACAATTCCTTGAACTTGTCAAAGCCAGCCAAGACACCCGCTCCAGCCATTCCACGCAGCACGTTAGCTCCAGCACCCTTCATCATGGACATCGCACCCTCATTCTTCAAGATCTGAATGGTACAATCGATGGATCCCTTGTACTTCACTGCCTGGCCAGATGTCATCATCATTCGTCGCCGGATGGTATCAATTGGGTATGATGCCAGACCAGAAGTTACTGTTACTCCATAACCGAGTATGAAGGAGAGCAGCAAGGAAGCATCATCACCCAGGAGAAGAGGCTTCAGGGTGTCATACAAACCAAAGTAGAATCCACGGTACACAATAATGCCAACGCAAGATATGACAAAACCTCGGTAGAGTCCAACAATACCATCACTTGCAAGGGTCTTACGGTACACATCAATGAGACCATTGAACTGGCGTTCTCCACCTTTCCCAGCTGATTTTGCATCATTAGCCAGCCGGGTCCGTGCATAATCAAGGGAGTAAACAAACATCAATGACATGGCACCTGCAGCCCCTCCTGAGGCAATGTTCTTGCTGAATTTGAGGGCATAACTATCAGTCTTTTTTGGCTTGAATAGAGCTTTGATTTGATCTTTGAAAGCAAAGTTCAGAGCTTGGGTTGGAAAATACCTGATGCAGTTGGCCAGATTGCCTGAAATAAAGAGAAGACAAGAAGCATGCATGATGCACTGAAAAGCAGAATTTAAGAGTTCAAAAGCACACATAACTTGGGGGTGGAGGGGGGGGTAAACAAACATAGCATAGGAAGTGAACCCAATATCTCGGGATTTTTGTCACTGACACCTTAATGTTGAAATATAAGTTTGCAAAAATAACTCAAGTGCTCATTTTCACATAAGCCTTCAGCAGCCCTCTTTTCATATTTTGTTTTCTGACCTCAAAAAGAAAAGGCAAACTTTTAAGTAAATAACAAAGGCAGGGCTACTGAAATGGAAGATGATCCAGTCACTACAGGTCAAGAACATGAACCCCTTTCTCTCATATTTTCCTGAGCCTGTTTTTGCTAACTCAAACAAAGCCCCTCTTCATTTTTTGTTATCTATACCTCAAAAAAAAAAAAAAAAATGAAATGCTTTGATGGTTGGGTTTGTAGCTACAACTGCATAACAGATTACTGACAGTCCAGAAGGAAGTCCCCTAACTCTCTCTTTACTCCCATACATTCTTCACAACCCAATAATAATTGAAAAATTCCAGTTTGATCAACACACGCCTTCTCTGGATAACTGCAAATGAAGTGTTACATTAACAAAAATAAAAATTATTATTAATATCATATATATAATATGTTATTTCATCACTGGTGAGAATTAACAGTGATGAAAACAAATAAGCCCCCTTGGGACTTAATACGTAAGGAATTTTCAATTTAAAATGCATGCCATATTTACCTAAGTTAGTGCAGCTGTGCTTAGGAAATTTTTCATACCTTAAATGCTGCACTTACTAGCAGGCGGCGCTTATTTGAGTAAATACGGTTTACGGTACGGTATTGCTCCATGTGTGAAAAGACAGCAATGAATTCTATGACTATATTAACTTTTATGACTCTGTTCACTTTTAATGCAAACTAGCATTACCTCTCCAAAAGGATGCAAACCCTTCTGCTTTGTAAGTTCGAACAGTGCAATCAATGACCCCCTTATAAGGCGTATCAAGTCGCCCTGCCTTGAGCATTTCATCTTGATTCTGTACAAGAAGTTTCACTCTCTCAATTGGGGCAGCAGCTGTCTTAGATATGATAGCTGCAGCACCACTCAGACCAAAGCTTTCTACAAAGTGAAGTTGTTTCTTTTGTGCAGAAGCCATCTACAAAGAAATGACGANTTATAAGGCGTATCAAGTCGCCCTGCCTTGAGCATTTCATCTTGATTCTGTACAAGAAGTTTCACTCTCTCAATTGGGGCAGCAGCTGTCTTAGATATGATAGCTGCAGCACCACTCAGACCAAAGCTTTCTACAAAGTGAAGTTGTTTCTTTTGTGCAGAAGCCATCTACAAAGAAATGACGAAGAGGCAAGGCATTAAGGCAAAGTAAAAAATACATTTGATCATACAAAACTGTGCCTTGTAGTATATAAATAAAATATGTTACATGCATTAATAATCAGCTTGAGAGAAAAACAGAGATGCTATATTAAAGAAGTCTTAATGAATGAGATATGAGATATTATAGCTAATCAATGTGAAAACAGGATTCCATAAAAACAATAGAGGTCCATGATGATAAGGGGTCAATTTAATAAATCTTTTACAAGTGTTATTTACATGTGTAGCTATTGTTTTCGGTTCAGCAATGGACATTTTCACCCTTCAGACAGACAATATGTCTTCATAATCCATCAAAATTGAGGATTAACAGATGGATGAAGTCAGACATTTTTATCTAAAATTTTAAAAACCATTCTCTTTTCACTTTAAGACGGTTTCTCCGTCGGACATGAATTATCCAACAGATAACCCGCCTGAGACGGATAATCCATCTCTAGTGAAAACGGCCTATGGCTACACTTAACAAATTTTGCGCTTGTAAATTTAAGCAAAATTAAATTGTGCCCAGGACGACAGGGATACCTAGACACACCCCCACGACCTACAACTGATCCGCTACGACCTTTTAAGCGACTATTCTACGCTGAGGTGAAGTAATTCTCAGGATTTGTTTTAAAAAAGTCCTAAATATTAAACCACAGAGGTTTTTCTTCAGACCTTTCGCTAACACGTTCCAGGGGTCCACATAAGCTTAGTAAGGGAAAATAATGGCGACTTTTCTGTGGCTTTGATAAGCTTCCCTTCGCACCGCCCCCACTATCTGAGGAAGTCGGCAAAGAAATGGCTTAGCACTTATCGTAAAAGAAAACACATTAGCAATATATTTTGCTAGTTGCACTGGAAAGCCACTTCAAAGGCCATAAATATTATAATAAAGCGCCTGTTATGAAGGCTAATAGCTTGTATGTATGCGCTCTCGGTGCATGCAGTGTACACGGAGGTCCTGTGAAGTTTACTGGAAAAAGGAGAATTTTCCCCAGACAGATACTCCACCTTAAAATCTAGCGATCCTTGGCATATACTTACATCTTCGACAAATCCGGTAAAATGAACGAGATAACTCACGCTCTCAAAAGTCCTTTACGTCAAGTCCGTGAAAGCGAACAACTATGTGGCGAGCTCGCGATCAAATACTCTAGAATTACGCAATTTGTTACGTCACTGTGGTAATCAGCCAATCAATGCAAGCCAACCTCCCATAGTGGGACTATTCATCGAAATTGGGGAGGGGAGGGTTAGCAAAACAAGTGCAGCCAAACCTTGGTGGGTTGTTCCCCTCGGAATGATAAACGAATCCATAAATTCTCAAGAATTTGACAAAACCCGGTTGAAATTACCCAGTGGTGGCCTGCGAACGCAGACGCATTTTTTGGTCGTCGCCGCTCTCCACCTGGGCGGGAGAGAAGCGACGACCGGAACCGGAAATGGGTCAGTTCAATTCATTACATATTTACAATCAAGTGATAACAAAAATACAAAAGAACGAAAAGGAAAAAAAAGAGCAAAGAGGGTAGAGATTACATATATACAAGAGCTTCTCTCTTGGTATATATTAGATGGGATATTCAGCTTAAAACTGCATTAACTTTTAAAAATATTATTATCGAAGGAACCGAACTCAGCGGAGGCATTTGTCTTACTTTATAGTCTGTGTTCGGTATCTGAGATTGATTACTTACAAAATCTGGGAAGAGTAGAGCTTCATCATTTAATTTGAATTTGTAAATGTTATACGCGTGCGCTAGACGATCTCTAAAGAGAAACTAGAGGATCTGCCAATAGGCCACTTGTCCCCATGAAGCCTAGATACACCTTCCTCGAATAAGCGTCCACATCTTCTCGGATTAGTGCTGGAATTAGAGCTTCGAATTAGTGGCTAGAAATGTTAAATAAGCGCCCGGGCACTAACCCCATGTCATGTCCTCCTTTCTGAATATACGGTATACAGTTCGTTAATCTTTAATGAATATACCTTAATATATAGATTTAGCCAGGGCTAAAGCGAAGCTCTTGCTAATATATTCACAATTTACTGAACAAAAAATCGAATCATGTAATACTAAACGGCGACGGCATCGAGAACGGCAAAAAATCAATAGATCTAAGAAGCTCTGCTGTTCATTTGCACGACTACAAGGTGAATCTTCCTAGTTACATGTTTTAAGGAGGATATGTCGTAGGTGCTCAATTTTGTTGCTTCTTTTCCTCTTCACTGCCGCTCATTTTCACCTTACTGGCCGCTAGCATTTCTCATTTTCTCAACACACAGAATTTTCAAGTTGTTCTTCTAACGAATTTCGTCTCGTTTGTTTTTTGTCTCTCGCGCTCGCTCTTGCTATAACTCTTTCTTTGTTATTCACGTCAGTGTAAACATTTTAATGTAGTCGAAAAAAGACTCGGCTTTGTTGTTGTTGTTGTTTTCCGTTTAAAAGTCCGGGTGGCCATGCGATTTACCAAAAATACGCGTGCGCGGGAGCTTGAATTTGAAATTTCACCCCGGCTTACAGGTAGGGGTAGATGTACGTAGGGACGGACGGACGGTCACGTGAATACTAATTTTGTTGCATCCATAGGTTTGCCGCTTCCATTTTCTATATAATGGAGGCTCCGCTAAAATAGGAAATTAACGCCTTATGAAATTAAGGTATTACTAAAATGAACTCGACTTAAATTAACGCGAAGTTTTGAAGTTTGGTTAATTTCGTGAAGCGTTAGTTCCCTATAATAAGGTAAAGCATAACATGTATAATCGCTGGAATGTGACCCATTGAGGAATCACACTATGGGATATTATAGCACAGGATAATCACCTCCGGGCTGGGAATTCTATTTTATTTTGTATTTGGAATGTTCTTTTAGTGTCCACAATTAGCTAATATCTAGCTGAAACCTAAATAAAGTTCATTCATTCATTCTCCATGTTACCGCCAACAGAAATGACCTTACATTCACTCTTACACAAGCGCTGGCTATAAAGCCAGTAAGCTAAAAAATGTCGAAACCATTAACCTTTGGGAAGTTTGGCTTAATACGCACGCTCTCAAGACCCACTTACACAGGCATTTTTTTCGCGCGATTAGGGCTGTAACTTGGGTGCAACTCCAAAATCGCCTGTGTAAAGAGCCCTCGACTTAACGGCGATTTCAGCATTATTTGTCGCGCGACATAATCTCCCATGTAAGCGAACCAGTTTGTGTGGAGAGCGAAAATGTTCCCCAAACAAACAAGCAGTGACTATTTATAAAATTCCAGTGGGCTGTGAGGCAATTCTGTACAATAACTCTTTTTGAAAATAATTTTAAGTTCAAAGAGAAATGATTATAGCGCACACTAACAGCTGAATAACTCTCATTTACTTTATTGTCATTACATGTTTATCGATACACAATTCCATGTCCATAATTCCAAATACTGTATACAAGGACAGACTCATTTGAGCCATAGAATTACAGAACTGCATTTCTTAACGTCATTTTCTCAGAAACAATTACTGGAGAACATTTGGCTTGTTGATTCCTTGGCAATTTGATCCTTGAAAACCCCCACCCTCAAGACTGTCATGTGATAAACTGAAAACTGATAAAACATCGTGGCCTACGACCAGCGCACCACAATGTGTCACGTGTTCATTGCTCTAAATACAGAGAAGTCGTTACGTCACGTTGCCATGGAAGCAAAATTTCTGGATCTCAACAAACCGTGGTCCTGCAAATATGACATGAATGACTTGCACTCACGAACAAAACGGTAACCCATACTTTTTTTCCAAGGTTTTGACAATGCCAAATGTCATCATTGATGAGATACAGAAATTTTGCCAACAGAGTTACGTGACGTCACGCTTCTCTTGAGCGAATCACAAATTAACTTTTCTTGCATTTTTAGGCAGTCGATTTGTCAAAATTTTCGGGAAAATCCTCCTTATGAGAGTAGAGACACTTTGCAATACGAACTGGCAGCATCAAGTCATTAAAAATGAAAAAGGAACGCTTCCAGTTGACATGCATCGTTCAAAGACGACTTTGCTCGGTGTTTCTTAGTGTCGCGGGAACCTATTATTCAGTGTCTTTTCAATCATTTGTATTACGTTATTTGGTGATAGCACCCGTCCGCGACACCAAGAAACTAACACTTTGCTTAAGCTCCCTAATACAAAAAAGAAGGATGCAACATAACATTTTCCTATACAAGCCTCCATATGGGATCACTCCTTTAAGCAATAGACCACACTTTCTATGGGTTTACCAGCGTGATAACCCACGCCGAAGGCGAGTGATTTACAAGCTTTTCGAGCGTTCTCCCAGCATCCCAAGTAGGTTATCACGCCGGTAAACCCATAGAAAGTGTGGTAATAACTTTAAGTAAAACTATGAGTTTACAGGCACAATAAACCATGGGTCTTTAACCAATCAAAACGCGCGTACTATGTTAGTGATTTTATCAAGTACCATAAGCCATCTATTTGTTTGTCACGCAACGCTTCTCTCAAAAGTTAGCGTTGCGTGACGTTTAAATAACGGCGGCACAGAAAACTAAATTGCTGCCGTTTTCTGTAACTGGGAAGTAGGGAGGGAGGAACACAAAGAAGAAAAGGAAAAGAGAAAGAGAGGAATCTGGGGACCTCCTGTGAGATAGTCACATAGGAGTACAGGCCCCGCCCGGGTTACTTGTGTTAAGACTTCATTTAACTTAGGGTTAAAAAAGATAGCGTGGTAGCACGTGTTCCGATTAGAGAGTTTAAGCTTCACGTATAAGGCAAACGGCAAACGTCAGATTCAAGTTGAGAATTTCTCAAAATCGAAAAAAAAGCACATAAACACAGCTCAAAACAATTCTTATGGATAAAAAATTGCGTGAAACTATTAATTTAGGTGTAGAAATAATGAACAGTAAACGACAAGTTAGGAGGAAACTTGGTCACGTGGTACAAATTCGTGTTTACCGTTTGACGTAAACGTGATGCTTAACTTCTCTATTTTCTTTTCTAGGAATAGGTAACTGGAGTTTGGAGTTTATAAAATATTGTTGAATCTTTACCCAGAGATCTAGTTACAGAACGTAAATCCACAAGAAATGAAACCCAATCATGGGTTAAAATCTTAATGTTGAGACCCTGAGTGACTATAACCATGGAGTAATTCTATAAATTAAACAGTGAAGAATACGTTACGCAAATAAATACTACAATAGCTGTCGATGTTAAAAAAAATATGGCTGCGCTTCAATCGCAATCTTTCAAGGACTACGCAACTTCCAAATATTCACAAACATAGTAAAAACTCGCACACAAGAAACTGGGGATTAATTAAGAACCTCCAAGCAGAAATTTGGCCGAACATGCACCACTTAGTGAGAATTTTAAGAGCCACTCTCTATTCTTGTAAACAGCGATTTTAGCCTCTAGCGAAACTTGGGTGTTCTTAAATAGGTACGGGTTCTTACTGTATAAAATGACAAGAATACCAGCGTTTCTGCATGTAAGTACGAACGAAAAAAACCTTGATTTTTAAAACTATTTCCTACACTTTCCTTTACAGCAACAACAATAAGTTGCCAGCGATTTATCAGTTGTTAATAAAAGATATATTTTTGCCCCACTTACGTTACAATTCCGGTTTAGATTTTTACCCATACAGACAGTATAATTATTTCGCCACTAAGAAATTTACACTCCTATGGCGTAAAATAATAACTCAATACAGCCCATTTTAATTACAAGAAGCTACATTTTCACAAAATACTTAACAAGTACGTAGTGTTTTCAAGGTTGGTCTGGACAGACAAGCAGTTTTATCACCGTGCATTTCTTCTAAAAATAAACTCTTGCTCTTGCAAGCAGGTGTCTATTTCGCCCACTTTAGAAGTTACTTTAAAATTACGAAGCTGAGGGCAGTCAGTGCACAGAGCGGTCAAACGCCTCAGTCAATGCCACTACCGATTCATTTTTACTGTGATTTTCAGCGCTATTTAAAAATCTCACGAGTAAAACGAAGATTTCATGGTGATTTGTCGTGCGAAGTATTACTCGCAAAAAGGGTATTTTTAAAAAAAAATTGGACAATACGTCTGGTGCAAACGGCTCTATTCATACTTAAAATAATACACGACGAGCATCTCGGAAGAAAATCATGGGAAAAGATGATCACCATACCTTTAACTAAGAACAGACAAGCTTGCTAACAGTTACTAACTCTTCCACGGAAACCTAAGTTAAAATCTAGGAGTATTCTCTGTGAGTGTGAGTCGCAATACACCTTAGCAAGAGTTCTTCACTAGATCTGGTATTTTACTTACTTCGCCTGGCTTAGCTACTGGGCATGCGTCGCACGTTTGACCGCTGACAAAGTCTAGTCAGTTACGCCTTTGGCGTAATATTTACTTTAAATAGCTCTTATAATAGATCCAGGGATTGATGATAATCACTTAGAAAAATGTCACAATAAAATTTAATTTACGCACCATTAAAGCCAACATTTCTGATCCTTGCAAAATTGTCTGTCGCTGTTCAGTTTTTTTCTGACCAAATCCCTGATTTCATACAGCGGTAGTATGCGTGCGCAGGTGTCTTATTTAGACCCACTGGACACCACACCTCGAAAGCTCATAACTTCTTTAATCTCTCCAAAATGTCGTGAGCCTCGTTTTCTAATTGTGCCTCATTTTTTTCGCCACCTCTCCTGTCGTCTCTTCTTGGACGATTTCTCGACGGAGGAACTGGTTGATCATCCACGGGAATATTAACCGAGTGATGCTTTTGATCGATCATGTCCTGCGCCTCCATTATTTTTTGTACTGGTATATTTGTGCGAGTTCGCGAGCGCATCAAGTCAACAGGTCGAGCTGTTGAGGTGAAAAAAGTGTTTCAGTGTTAAACAATGTGGAACCCTGGGCTATTTTCGAGTTACCCTAAATGATCACCAGGTTAAGTGCGATGCCTTTGTTATCAAAACTATTTTCCATCCTCATTTAGATTTGACTCATTTTCACATCAAAAGTTCTGCCCCTGGCCTAGGTTTTGAAGTGAGGGTTTTTGAAAGTCGTAAATGTCCTATTGTGGAAAAAAATCTTGCAAGAAAAATAACATACCGCTCTGTGTAACAGAAACAAACTTTTAGACAATTGATGACGTTAGCACATTTTGTGGCAGTATCGCGTGACGAGAGACAGGTTTCGTGACTAGCGTGATCTCACCTTTCTTGCCTCCTGCCTTCTTCCTTGCGGGTCTTGAGGGATCTCTAAACGCAGATCCTGTGTTAAGAGCTTCCATTAGTCCGTCCAATACTCCCTCTTGGTCATCATCTACAAAAGAAAACAATTTGTAGGACAACAATACAATACTGTTAACTAAAACAATTGGTCGAGACCGATAACCTTACCGATCATGAAAGAGCACCTGTTTCACCATAAAGATTTTTACGAACATGAACACTTTACGAACCTGCACTCATGTCGACAACAGGTTTTCTCTTGGATTTCTCTGCCTCCATGCGCTTTTTCCTTTCTTTTTCTTTTTCCTACGGAAAAAAGACTCTTAAAACCCTGGTGTAGAGCTGAGCTAAGCACTCACATTTGTAATTCACAAAAACACTTTAACGAACCAATCATATTTTGACGTAAACGTACGTCAGTCAAACGCGGGAAAGTGTACAAGGGTCTACATAAACGATACGAGCTACTTTCGCAATTACTCCTACTATATCAAAATGACAATAGTTTTCAAGAGTACACACAACCACTTAGAATAAACTTCAAAATTTCCCTAAGAAAATCATTGTACAGGCGTTGCGATATTCTACCGTAAATCAGGTGAAGTAAAGTTTTCCGTGAGTGACTATTTTAGTCCTGATGAATTATAAAGGGAAAGAAAAAAAAATAATCAACTAAATAAGAAAACTTAGGGGCATTGTTTTCTTACCGCTCTTTCTTTCGCTTTTCGATCCTTTTCTTCTTTTTCCTTTCTTTTGGCATTCTCCTTTTTCGCTTTCTGTGAAGAAATCGAACAACACGGTGTATAACACCTACATGTACTTGTGCGGGCGAAGAAAACAGATTTAAGGAGTTATGTTTCCACAGGTCAATGCGCGTTACATGCCAATATATCACCTCGAATTTCACTTAAATCTACCATTGATTTACCTCGAAGGCGTCCAAGAAGGTTTTGATATCACCAAAGAACTCTTCCATGGATGTCTTCTTTATGTCCAAACAGAAAAATTCGACGAGTTCCTTGTACATTGTGGTCATGTTTTTGTGCATCTCAACAAGAACATCGATTTGATCCTTGGCGCTACTATAAAAACCGTGCGCACGCGCAGTTAAGGAAAAAAAACTGCATCTGATCATGTCATGCATTTGGGGGCATAAAGGAAAAACTGAGATGAATCTTTCCTGTGGTATTGGTTATTATTCTGTACAAGGTGGTTCTACCTTTTGAATCTGTGGATGAAATGTTAAAGTGTGACCATTCAAATGAAAGCTACTGAGCAGTACTTTCCTGTGGTACTGTTTATCATGCTGTACAAGGTGGTTCTAACTTTTGAGTCTGTGGATGAAATCCTAAAGTGTGACCATTCAAATGAAAGCTACTGAGCAGTACTTTCCTGTGGTACTGTTTATCATGCTGTACAAGGTGGTTCTAACTTTTGAGTCTGTGGATGAAATCCTAAAGTGTGACCATTCAAATGAAAGCTACTGAGCAGTACTTGCCTGTGGTACTGTCTGCTATTCTGTACATGGTGGTTCTATCTTTTGAGTCTGTGGATGAAATCCTAAAGTGTGACCATTCAAATGAAAGTTTCTGAGCAATAATTTCCTGTGGTACTGTATATTATGCTATGCAAGGTGGTTCTACCTTTTGAGTCTGTGGACGAAGTCTTGAGGTGCTACCATTCAAATTGGAGCTACTAAGCTGTACTTTTCTGTTTTACTGAATGTCATTATGTGGTGCACAAAACCCAGGGGCGGATCTAGGGGGAGGGTGCAGGGGGTGCACACCCCCCGCCCCGCCTGAGATGACCTGCGGTTTTCTAATACAACTGGTATTCTGCAAAAAAAAAAATTATGTGGTTTATTGGTGTTGAAGTAGAGCAAGAGATGAGTGTAACCCCTCCTAAAAAAATCCTGGATCCGCCCCTGAAACCGTTCAAAGAAAGTCAATGAATGTAAGAAAGGATATCTTCATAACAGTCAGGAACTTATCCTCCGGGTCGTTAAGTGGCTTGTAAGTTTCTAATTCTTTTTCAAGCTTCTTCAAGTTTCCTTGCATGGAATTGATCGACTTCTGCAGAATCTCGTCCGACACTAAATACAAGAAAAAAATATGAAAATCAACTTTGGCTGTAACATGAAAACGTAAAGGAAGGAAATATGGGAGCCTAGTTATAGGACGTTAACCGAACCCCTTCAGTTTTTTATACGTGTGGCTGAAATGTGTTTGGATAATAACTTGTTATACTACAATGAAAGTCAAAAGAACTTGAGACACTGTGGAAATCTGCCTAGTTATATAGGACTCTGCTCCAAATGGCAATACTTTGATCGGATTCGACCCCACCCCCACCCCCACCCATAGACACACAACACACACACATACACTGTCCCATCCTGCAATGTTGCGCTAAGGACTCAATTTCACCCCTTTTGGCTCAAATTCAACATTGTTTTGAGTGGGTGGAGGCACGTCATTAGTTTTACTAATATCACTTAGTCCTAACACATTTGACGTCCACAGTAGTGCAGCCTTTGCTGGGTAATATCAGCTAGTGGGCAGACGATCTCTTTGGCAGCACTACTTACGAGAAATAGATCAAAACGACCTACCAACAAACAAATAAACAATCAAACGAACGGACGGACGGACGAACAAAGAGCATACTTCGTGGCTTTAGTGGGAGCTTACAGAATTTCAAGACTTAAGCAACAGCGACGTCACCAACAACAAATCAGACTTGATCAGCTAAACAACTGCACCTGCATAACTCCTCTGCACAACTACGTTTCACAAGGGGGTGTGAACACACGACGACAAGTTTTTTCCTATCTATTCTCCACTTTGCATATGAATCGTAACAATTCAAATTCGCAAGTTAGGAAAATTGGGACGAAATTAAAAACAAACAAACAAGAATTCACTAAATTAGTGCCCTTTTGACTGCTGTCGTAATCGCGATCAGTTTCACAAAGGGAAACGCTGAAAACATGTTATTTTCAAATGGTATCATAGTCTTTTTGCTTCGACGGAAATTATAAACGTGGTGAGGTTGACTTACCTCTCGCCGCTTGTTCAACATGGGTCAACTCGTTCTCAAAGCCTGAAATCTCTGGATATTTTGTTTCAATTATATCTTCAAGAAAATGCACCAACGTGACCTGCCCGTCTACTGATTTCGTTGAACTTAACTGCAATGCAAAAAAATGTTTGATCGTTGCATTCCTACTGTTCAATAAAACTGAAAATGTCAACAGAAAGTGGCTTAAAAAATATAAACTAAAGATACTTGAAATTAGGGTTATAACGCACACAAACTTATGCTGTTTACGTTTGAGAAGAATGATTTTGATCACCAGAACAGTCTCTACCGCTCGAGCCGTCTCAAAATATGTTCAGGCGATCGAGATCATTGTATGGAAACCCTCTGACGTAATGCGGGACGACTAGGATAATTGAGGCAATCCTCGAAATCTCCTCTGCGACGATCGCCCCAATTGTTTGGATCTACCCGCATCACATAAAAATGTACGGGTCGTATATAAACTTGGCTTTCACACAATAGTCTGGATTTTCTTGATAGTACAATCGCCCAAAACAAGGGCGGTCGAGTTGGATTCGAACACCTTTTCACGCCACAAATTCATGCAAGGACTTAACAGAAGCCTTCTTTTAAATTTCAATGACCTTTTTCGAGAGCTTATGCAGAACCGCTGAAAAATGAGAGCTTGAATTATGTAAACGCGTACAGGCTGAAAGCACATAAATACCTGTTGTCACTGTAAAGCCCATATTTAAAAAATATATATATTATCCGCAATATTTCAGTACTTTCTACATTTCTTTTTAATTACAATACTTTTTTAAATTTTCTGTTTTTTGTCAATGCGGTTTACAAATGAGCATTCGGATATTCCTACGCTATGACATTAACAAATTGACTGATTGATGTGAGCAACTTACTTTGGTGAGATAGTTCATTTCAAATCCCATTGAGCCTTCGTTTCTTGAGCCAGCGTTCATGTAGTTACCCATGAGAAGCACTAGTTCCAGGAATTTGGCGAATTTAGGACTGGTTTTCACCTCCCGACACGCTGCAGTTGCATTGACGACACTCTACAAAAAAACGAAACGAATATGATTAATATAGGGTGGGTATCAATCAAAATTTGAAAGAAATTTCACCCTAATTGCCGCACTTCTGTTCACCAGACCGAACGTGGTTGTCCCTGACCAGCTTTACCGTTTTTTTTTTCCTCAGACATTTTTTGAAACAGCTCAAGTCATTCTGTTTGCTTTCTAGAGGTTAGGTTAAGAGCTATTAGAAAAAGGCAACTCTTGTTTACATTGCCTTTCTCTTATTTGTTTCACACAACTGAAACCAAAGTAATACCTTCAGCCAATCAGAAATCGCATTAACTATTAATTGAACCAATGAGAGTTCAGAGCAATTCACACAGCCAGCGGAAAGCGCGTGAAATTGCTTGAACGCGGCCACAGTTGTTTTATTTTCGGGTTTCAGCTTCTGAATGGATAGCAAATTGGCGGAAAATATACTGCGAAGCCAATAGCAAGGAGAAGCAATGGGAAAAACAAATATAACCAAAAAATGTTTTTCCTAGGAAAAATAAATCATATTGACATCCACTCGAGTTGCTGGGGAAATTAGCCTACAGTTACTACAGCGATTCGAAGCCTGTTTTCAAAACAGAACTTTGCTCATTATCCTTCAAGAAAAGCCTGCACGCAAACGTCTCAGCGTTTTTCTTTCGTAGAAGTCTGCACGCAAGCTGCATCAAGATACAACTACTCTCTGCAAGCATTTTGCTGAAAGCTCCAACGCTTGAAATATGTCGAACCTAACTCTAGGAAGCAACGAGCTTACCGGTTTTATATCTTGCATATCTTCCGGAAATTTCATCTTGAAGAGAATCATGTTTAATCTAGATTCCAACTTTTTGATTCCGCTTAGCTAAAATGATAACAGTTTAAAAGTCAGTTCAACTGAAATAAGAGGAAAATGCACTGATCATATATAATGTAAATAACGTCAAATACAAAGCTTTATCAGTGTTTCCAGGTTTTCACTGTCTCGGGCTCGCTACACCAAAAAGGTTCATAAACTAACGACGAACTTTTATGCATGTTTTTAGTAAACAAGTTTCAGATAAACGGGATTTACACTGTACTGGATTTACTCCACAGAAAACAGACAATGCCTCTGAGTCTCAAAATTTTCCTTTTTAAGTTTATAAAAACAAATTGACGAGCATTTACCAAACAAGCAAACTGTTCAGGATCACTCAGATCATCGAAATTATCCTTCATGTTTCCAAGTTGTTGCATCTGGAGGAATAAAGAAAAGATACGTCAGTGTCATTTGCTGTTGCATCGTGTTGGGGTTTCGCGCTCGAAAGCCTGCTCTTAAGCAAAGGGAGGTACGATACGAAGCCGGCAACGGCATAGAAATCGTCACTGTGAACTGACTTCGCTTTCTTTCAATTCAAACTTTATCGCGACTATTCCACTCGCCTCAAGTGGAGACCCATTTTAGTACTCTATTGCGTCGCCGCTCAAGTTCTCAAGGAAATTTACATCTTGGTAAATTCACTTCCTTGTGACTGAGGAAGGCAAAAGAAACTCACAAAAGAGTTTCAGTCTTTAAAGTTCCTTCCTCGCCGTTGTAGTTTCGCAAGGTCGCTTATTACACACAAAAAAACATACGGACCCATACACTTACACTAAAAATACAGGTACCTATGTATAAATGGAGTAATAGTAGTAGAGGCCTAGTCTTGCGTTTCTATCGCTAGCAAATAAAACTGTTTGAAGGTGCCTTTGGATGAGGACAGGTAGGAAGGAAAAACGGCAATTTTTACAAGCTGGAACAGCGCTTTCGCTGTGCTACTTGGGAAAATCGCTCAAAAACCACTGATTATGGTTTGCCTACCAACTTGAATGAATTAAGATGCCTTCAAAAACAAAAATTTTTTAGGAGAATTCTGGTGACTTCAACTAGATTTGCCGGCTCACCTGGTCTGCAGACGGTAGATACTTCAGTAAAGAATTGATCGCACTCTCTGTTAAAACGGTCTGGTCACAATTTAAAATCAACTTCTTGACTTCGTGGTGAGATAATTTAAGTGAGCCAAGGAAAATTGCTGTGTAACGAAATAGTAAGAAATAACAGTTAGCATGCCACAATTTCGCCAGAAGTCCTAGCTTATTTGTTCGCCTCACATTATAAGCTGCTAATCCAAGCTCAATCTTGCACATACAGTAAAAACTCGCCACTAAATACCCGCATTTTCCCAAATTAGCCTAAACAGATTCTTATATAAATGGTAATTAGCACAAATTTAGGCTATTCAGGTTCTTAAATTGGTTCTTATTTTCTGAAGGAAAAAATACATTATAGCTAAGAGTTTTCGTTGTATCCATCTTATTCCTTACATATTATCTGCATATCATTATATTGCAGTTGGAGGGATAAGACACATGTATCCAAAGAGGATTCTGAATGTTGACTAATCTTATTTGCCCAAGTGTACAGAACTTTTTTTTACAGGGTTTAGAAATAAGAACTTGTTCCAAATTTAAGGCTTAACAGGTTCTCGATAGAGTGGGGCTAACTGTTAGGCAAATTTTAGTCAAGCGGGTTCGTGGTCTCGGGTTTTTAATGTACTTGCATGCGACGCAGGGTTTGCAAATTTTATTGATGAGTGGAGTCACTGTGACTTCCGCTTCACAAATTTTGGAGTCATTTAGGAATATTTGGAGTCGAGTATCACAACGAAAAACGCCATTTTCTGACTTTCGAGAACATAGTCCTCTCATGTATACATTATCGTTATGGATACACGAAGAAACTGTGGCGGTCCGCTGACCTGGAAAGCTCATCCAATAAGCTTTGATCGTAATTTACCCTCTTCCTATTCGGTCGTGCAGTATAATTCTTTAATGTTGATGATTTAATTAAGGTTTACAACGTTT